AAAAAAAAGGCTCCCAAACCAATCTAAATCCCAGAAGCAATTACAAGCATAAGACAAACCGTTGATGCTCGTTTATGAGATGTGACAAAGGTGGGACCCACAACGATAGCGTATATAGGAATATTTTTAAGAAGAAAAGCGTGTATATATGAACACAGAGATCTGACACAAAGCAGTGACATGTGCAAGATGTTGCTCGGGTGTTATCTGCTTTACCTATATAATTCTGTCAACATGCGCTGCTACTGTTTTCTGCGAGTGAGTTAAGGTATGCATAGGCAGTCTACGCATGGGGTGAGTAATGCTCTATAGATAGTGACAACTTATTGAATAGGTATGCACATGTTAACAGATACATAAGCCAGTTAAAAGATATATAGGCCACTGTAATTCTCACCAAAATATTCACGGACAATGTAAAAGGACAGCTCTACTTTGCATCTAGTTTTGTGATGCCAATAAATCCAGATTTTTTATGCAATATTCTCTCTAATTTCACTGTTCTTGCAATAATAACACAAGCAGCACTTAACAAAAACAATGTTATATGAGAGACACTCTTTAGGGAAAATGAAAATATAAAGGAGGAGAAGATAGACAAAGTGCCACATCCTCAACAGGTTATCACTCCGTTTGAAATTAGTTAAATTTAGTGGTTTTCAATATGGGCCTCAAGATGCTGTCCAATTTCTTTACACAATTTTTATAATATAGCTCCAAGCATACATCCTATTAGAGTCCACAATTTAAACTATGGCCTAACCTTTCATTCAACTTCGTATTGACCATTTTACTACAATTAGAACTGGTCAATTGGGAACTAGGAATACACGTTAACATATGTCTTCTTAGAAATCAAGCTAAATCAATACTCCAAGTATTCAATTTCAGTCAAACCTGATAACCAGTCATCGTTGTGGCTGAAAAAGTATACTTCTCATAAGATAGCATGACCTCTTTTATGCCTCCATGTCTTCCATAGAAAAAGTTTAATGTTATAACGTAGAGAAGTACCGGACAATCTTGTTTTCTGTCTGGCCTAATTTACATGGTAATAGTCTAGCAATCTTTTTGATGAAAATTTTAGACAATCTCTTCCGAATTACTTTGATGTTTGTAGACAAAAGAGGATAAACAAGAATGCAGATACCCAAGCTCACAAAATCATCTTAACCTGCACAAGCAAGCTACAACCGAAAATTGTAGGAAAACTGTGACAATTTAGCAAGTCAATCTCACCACTTCATATTTTATCTCCTGGAGAAGGAGATGGAACTAACATGGAAAAGGAAGAGTAAACAACACTAAAAGAGAAAAAAGACCAGTAAGGGGGAAGACAAGTGGATGAATTAGTGAGAGAGGCAGCAGTGATCGATTGTATACCTTTTTGGTGGAGGTTCAATGACCCAGTCAAACATTTTATAAGTTCCGAAGGAATGCTGTAGATGGGGATGATCTTCAGCCAACCTGCCTATTATTTCCTGCGTACAGATATCATGAATAAATAAACATTCTTCAACTCAAAGGATAGCAATACATATTCTAGAATGCTGAGTCACCATTGCAGTGGCATTTAGCATATAGTCTGCAGATCCTGCTGGAAAGACGGCCCATTTAGTGAGGGAATCATTTCCCTTCGTGGAAAAGTTCATTAAGCGAACCTGCAAGGTAAGTGACATTATCATATGTAAGAAAGTTAACTGCACTTACTTGAAAGCATAATCAGTCCAATCCAGTAAAAGAGTTGAGTTGCTGAAGGTTAGTCAATCTTTGATAACTACTCTAACCGATGGTTACAGAGGATTCGTACAGCTTTCCAAACTTTGCTTGAGATCAAGGCATAGATGAATGCCATATCACGTGTAACAAAGTTAAAACTCAAAACTAGTTGAGCAACATAAACAAAACTAGACATTCATTGTTAAATTACACCCCGATAAGATAAGGTAAGCTTTCGGAGGCTCTAGTATTGAAGAACCAAGCTATACCATACTAATAAAAGAGGTCTTCTGAAAACTAGCTTCACAAACTACTAGTTCTGCATAGCCCTTTTCTGCGCTATTGTGCCATAGGTTGTCAAAATTTGCTTCTTAACGCTTGAGAGAAAGAGAATTTACCTATTCAACCCCACCCCCACCCCCACAAACTTCTATTAGAAGCTCTTACTTCTCAGTCTAATTTGGACTACTCCTATAGCAGCGCTGTGAAGAGAGCCCAGTTCTAGACCCCTTTAGAAAGAAAAATATCTCAGACATTCAGCTTATGTCAAAATATCAGCAGCTCCATAATGCTGTTTGATAAAATAAAAGTTTAACTCACAAAAACAAAAGCTTCAGCCAAATTATCACAATAAAACCAAACTACCTGTGAGACATTAACATCCAACTCCTGGGCAATGAAATGGACAAGTTCTGGAATGCGAGGCTTCAACTCTGAGCAATTGACACTTAGTGACAAGTAAAATGTAATAAGCCCAACTTTAATATCCACTGCAAGTTGACATAAAAGATGAATGTGATCACAACCATAATTCTTTGTAATGGAATTATCTAATTTCAATAGCAATCATATCTGCACTGAAGCCTTGCTCAAGTTTGTGAGAATAGATGTAGTGAAGAAGAAAAAAGTGACTAACACTTGCAAAACTAAATAAAATCTCGATGGTTATACAAACCATTGAAGAGGTACATCAAATTGAAATAATACAAAACAGGGCTATGTTTCAACAATGTAAACAGGAAATATTAGGCAGGAAAAATTTTGAGATTCTGCCATTCCTTCCTTTAAGGTCTTACCACAAATTTCTCATGCTTGTCGATGTCCAGTCACAAAATTCACTAGAAATTTGACAATTGACTACTATAACTTAGTGGATGGATTTTCAGATAGTCGGTATATGGTCAATGCATGTTCAATTGGTATCAGTTGTCGTAGTCCCTAGAAATAACTTTTTGGTCCCTTGATTATACCATATTTGTACTTTAGATCCCTCAACTATTCAGCTTTACACATTAAACCTACAATTTAACGAACTTTACAGATGTAGTCCAATAATAAACAAAACTAGCTAACCCACGACATATTCATATTTCAAGTCTCACATTTTAATAATACCGATTTCAAAAGGAGCATTAATGTTGTAAAAGTACCGTTGCCTACTAAAATATCCCAAAAAGATGAACACGCAGCTTTGGAAAATGGAATGCACCCATCACATGAGTTGCGGATTAACAAAATTTAAAAGGTTATCTAGTTCTAATTAAGATCTGAATAAATCTGCAAACTCGACAAATTAAAAGGCAGATGTCAAAGTTGGAGAGTTGGACAAAAAGTGGAAACAGGGGATAACAGGGGACCAAAGATTTTCTCAGTATTCCTTGAAGTTATTATAATAAATTTCCAGTTTAACTAAATCTATCTCAAACTACAAGAAGGCTGAGAATGCCGTGACATCAGTACAATTTTATGCAGGCAGTTGCTTTTTAGAAATTTTAAAATACCAGGGAAACTAGATGATTACAAGATTAATTTCAGAGAAAGGTCAGATGTCAACTTGAATAGGATTATAAAAAGGGATCTTTACACAAATAGCCGGCTATATTCATTGTTTACTTTTTCTAGCCATATACATAGATTATACACAATTATGCACATATAATACATAAATTATGCATATATTATTCACAAATAGCAGCATTCCTGGACGTCAGTAAGAGACAAAATGTTGATTGCCCAAAAATGATCTAATCGAAGGCAAAACATCAAAATCAACAGGATGCAATTCTAATTTTGATTCTCATTTTCATAAAAGAAACCACAAACCATAATAGTTCAAAATTGAAGGGAAAATTGAAAAGGAAATTGTATTAATCTTTTAGAAAACAGAGCTAGTAGAGATGCTAAGAATAAAACCAGTTCAGGTTATGACAGCATTCTAATGGGCAGAGTAACCTTACAGTAAATATACTATGTGAAGAAAAGCTGTCTCTTCATACCAGGTGTGTTGTACCCAGGGGGTCCACTAGGAGCTGATGAAGGAGACAGGTGTGCAGTGGGGTTTGTGTTATCCAAGCTTGAGAGCGATGGTGAAGGTGGAGATGGAGGTGGAGGGGATAAATTGAGTCTGTCCCATAACTCAGAACAATTAGTTTTCCAAAAACCAATTCTTTTATTTTCACGATCGTAAGTAACAAGAGTGTTGCGAACAACGATTCCTGTTGCAATTAAAAGCACGCATGTTACAGCACCGAATAGCTAGGACGATGAACTTTGTCAAGTAGTTAGAAATACCTCCAAGAAGACTAATTGGATTCTTTCCATTCGGGAAAATTCCTAGGCAATAAGCACCACGTACTTTGAAGTGCTTTATAGCATACAAGTTACAATGAAGAAGGGGGAAATTAATCAATACCAAAACTTAAAGAGAAAAAGAATTCAGTAGATGTGACGCCAAAATAGTGTCGGCAAGATAGTTAAGAAAGTACTAAAACAGAATAAAATGCCTACCTGAAACAAGTAGTTTTCAGGAGAGAGAGTTAGTTTCTTTCCATCGCTGAATACCATATCGACATGCGGAAAGTTCTTTGAGAGTTGTGATATGTTGCTGGAATATATAAGATATTAAATAATAAGGGTAACACCAACAATAGGGAAAAAACAAATTTAGACAAGAAAATAATAGACGTCCAATTAATTTCGGAACTCTCCTTATAAATACCTTCCAGCACCAGAAAAGCAGATATCTTTAAAACTAGGATCTGGCCCTTCGATCTGTTTTAGAGAATGAAGCTCTTTCACTACCTGAAAAGAAAAGTTGAAGAGGTTAATCCCAGAAAGGAAAATACGTAAGTTTATCTAAAGATAATAGCCACAAGTAACATACTGTATAAATTCACAACCAGTGACTCCACTTTTCCTTTGCCAAAATGTAATGCACCAAAAGCAATGAAAGACAACATCAAAGATATGCAGAAAATTGCAAGGAACTCTGTATACGTCGAAAATTACTACCTGCTAACATCATTGGAAGAAAATGCTGTGTGGTGTATTACCAAATTCAGAAATTTAAAACAAGAAAAATCAACTATTATAAGTGGTTAAGCAATCTTAATTAGGTCCTTTAATAGCAGAGAAACTAACAGCAAAAGAAGGGATAGAGGCCATAATACATAGCCTCCTTTTCTTTTGATAAAGTACATAGCCTCCAACTCATCACAGGAATAAGTTAGGTGGTGGAGTTATAGGATCACAAGATACCTGGATTCTTACTTTTCTTCAAAACATGTTCTAGTTATCAAATAGTTAGCTCTCGAACTATTATTGACCAAGAGGTTTTAGTTCAGTCCCACTCATGTACAGGAATCTCCAACTATAGAATTGATCCACGTCACAATAGGACATGATGGTTTGTTTCACCAATCAGTGGTGTAAATAGAACTTTGAATGGCAAGAAAAATTTAATAGATTGAGTTATATATAGAAAACACATTATTCAAATGAATATCTTTTCACATCTAATTTCTTCAGGACATTCTGCTCATCAATAGCGTGCTATTTGCCACTAGTCACTTTCTCAGGCAGAACGAATCAAACAAACAGACAAACAGACAGAAACATTGGCAGATATATAGATAAACTATATCTTACAGCATTCTTGAAAGCTGCAAATGCTGCTTCTGGAAGGTAAGCATAGGTGGTACCACTATCAAGTATAGTCCCGTGTTTTCCACCAAAAACCCGTGGATTTAGGTTCAGCGGCTTCCCAGCGACATGTATCTCCTTCAGGTCAATATTGTAGTACGGGCTGTTGCCATCC